CCCCCCCCCTTCCCCCGCTGCCCACAGCTAACACAGGCGCACATGGTCTATGCCTCCCTGCATGCTGGGCCGTCTGCTTACTCTGTGTTGCCTCAGAGGCCCAGGTATGTCCCTAGAGACCTGGGGTCCCCAGGGTTTCTCCAGCCTCTTGCTCGGTGCCACATGAGGGTGCCCTGAGCATGAAGGCAGCACCTCGCTCCTCTGCCCATTGCCAGGGGTCATTGGAGCCTGGTTGCACTGACAGGCACCGGGGCACCATTCAGCTCAGCACAGAGGTGGGGCAGAGAGGGAGCCTGCCCCTCCCCCCAGCAGGCACGTGCAAGCCTTTGGCAGTGCCCAGACACATTTGGAGTTAAGGCTGGGCTGGGGAGGGGGAAGGGAAAATAAACATGGTGGCTCAGGTTGGCACTGCCCCAGGTGTGCCCTGTAGCAATTGGCAGTGGCAGGGTGCAGGAGGAGGGGTCCTCCATAGCTATGGCCCGGGGCAGGAGCTGCCCATGCCATGTGGCTGCTGCTGGTGTTCCCTGCCTGGCCTGGCCCACAGCTGCTAATACCCATTCCCATACACCCTGGCCCTGTTGCCTGCCCCCAGGGCCTGCTCCCCAGGGCTGCCCCTCTCTCAGCATGCCCACTCCTTTGCCTGCCTCCTCCCATCCCTGGGGGCGCTTGGGCCTCCGGCTGGCGAGTGGATTTTTCCAGCTTCTGTAAACAAGTGGTGGCAGCATGCCAGGTGGGCAGGAGACAGGCGGGGGCAGCACCGCAGCCAGGGTGTGCCAAGCACCGAGGCACAGCCTGAGGGGGGAGACAGGGAGACACCCAGACCCAGAGAGAGAGAGAGAGAGAGAGAGAGAGAGACATTCAGATGCAGAGAGCCGACTAAAGGAAGCCTCGCTGGGCACAGATAGAAGTGGAAACAGAAGCGACAGAAAATAGCCCTCTATTGTCCGGCCCAACCCCCACGACTTCCCTGGCCCCCTACCCCTCAGTGCCCTGACTGAGGGCAGCAGGCCCCAGTGCCCAGTCCCTGGGCATCCCCACCCACTCCTTCTCCTCCCCCTACCTCCACCCCTTAGGGCTGGCTACGCCATTATAAATTTATAACAGGAATTTCTTCACAAGCCAAGAAAAACTTGACCTACTTTCTTGACGGCTCCCTGGGCTAAGGCTCCCCGCTCATTGCCCCCCCCACCCCAGTCTCCTGTCCAACCCCCAGTGCCCAGTCTATGGGGGTAGCAGAGGCATAATGGTCCTGCCATGCTCGTCATGCTGGGGGCTTGCTTGGGTGCAGAGGCCCTGTCCGGTTGCCCTGCCCTGCCCAATGACCTGACTTATCTGTCTCCCCTCCCACCCTGGCTCCTTATCAGTTCCTGGGGGTGGGGCGGGGGGCCCAGGGGTGAGGTCTCTGGTACAGCAGCCACGTGATGGAGGTTGTGTGTGGGGAACTGCACCCTTTGTCCCCTTCTCACATGCCCACACCTGCCTGTGTGTGCAGACAGTACACCTCAGGTCTGTAGCCTGTGGTCAGAGGGGCAGTGTGGAGGGAATGGTGGCCCCATGCTGGCACTGCCCTGGACCCCAGCTGGTGGACTGAGGCTAGCATTTGAGACAGGCTGTTAGGTTCTTTTCCCTGAGCCACCTGCTTCCTAGCTGTGTGAACATGAATGAATGATCAAGCTTTCTGAGCTTGTTTCTTCATCTGTAAAGTTCTGATGCCCACTTCAGAGGGCACATATTATCTATCCAGGTAACACATGTTTGCTTCCTTTCCCCTTGCTCTTGCTGTCCTGGTGGGTGGTAGCACAGCTAAACAACTGGGAAGTCTGGTCCTCAGACTGGGAAGTGTGATTTGGGACCTTGTACAGGAAGCTCTAGGGTCCTTGGGGAGCTGGGATTGAGGAGTGGTTATTTGGTCAGCAGCAGGGGAGAGGTCAGCTCCCCACTGTTTTCAACAGTCTCTCTCCATCAATGCACTTGGGTGGGCACTCATGATCCCTGCGTGCTGCCCCATGTCCCACCCTTCCTTCTCAAGTACCCCCTACAGGTGAGCTGAAAATTGCTCATCTTGGGTCCCCTCTTGCCCTATAATACTGATAACTTTTAGAAAAACTTGGCTAGACGGGTGGTAACAATAGCTACATTTAATGGACACATCAAAAGGCCAGGCGCTTGACTGAATGTCAGGATTGAGACACGGTACGTGATGACCTGATTCTTTTCCTCCACACCTTTCCAGGTCTGGGGCTTAGGATGTGTATCTCCAGTCTTGCCTCCTGCACCTGTTAACTGACAGGCTGTCCTGATCCCGTTTGTGCTTGCCCTCCATGCCTGCCACCATCTTGTTATGGGCTCCAAGAGCCCAAAATGTTGCCACCAAAGGAATCTTAGCCACTCACCGCCACCATTGCACTGCCTTATCCCTGCCTCTCTCCTCTCTTTGCAGGGACTTCTGGACAAGACTCCAAAGCTACTCCCCCAGCCCGAGACCCCTCCTCAGACCCAGCTTGTCCTCAGCCCTACCACCTGCCACTCCCTGGCCCCTCTCACCGCCCGCCCCCCTTGGGGCGCAGGGCATGGTGTGAAAGGCCAAGTGTTGAGGGGGGCACCATGGGTGCTGTGCCCTAGGGCCTGGGTGGCAGGGGGTGGGCGGCCTGTGGGTGTGCCGGGGGGGCCATCGTGCCCACCCCAGTCTCTTGGCGTGCTGGAGGGCATCCTGGATGGAATTGAAGTGAATGGAACAGAAGCCAAGCAAGGTGGAGTGTGGGTCAGACCCAGAGGAGAACAGGTAATGGCTCCAGCAACTAGGTTGTGTCAGTTCTTAGGCAGCAGGCATGGTCATCTCCTGGCTGGGCAAATGAGCGCTGAGCCTGGGCCTTTTAAGCACCTCTGGAGGGCTGGGCATGGGGCCAACAAGCTTGCTGCCTACCTTTGCCCAGGAGATGAGGTCATGGCCACATGTGGCAGGGAATTAGGCACCTGGATTGAGAGATGTCCATTTTGGAGGGGGGAGGTGATGCAGGATACAGTAATTACAGGCGGCAGGCACGTGGCCCTTCTCTTGACAGTGCTGGGAGATCTCAGATGCCTTCCCAGTGGCTCTCAGCCGCCCTCACCTGAGCATGTGGAATCCAAACAGCCTTGCCATTTTTCTCTTCTCCCTACCAGACTAGTGTGTGGTCCAGAAGCCATGATGCATGGGACATGACATTTCAGAGCACATGCACCAGTCACTGTTGGTCATAGCCCGTGCTTATATTTGGAATCTATTGGGAGCCCCACAAGCTCTTCCTTGTTCATGGGCAAGAGCAGGCACTGCCACGGGGCTCCTCCCAGGAAGTGGAAGTAAATGCCAACTCTGAAGGTTTTGCTCACACGTGGAGGAGGAATCAGCCCTGCATACACAACTAGGGATGGGTTACCTGTGATCTGCGTTGCCCTTGAGGAGCCCAGAGGGTCTCTGCTTCTCCCATCAGCCCCAAGTGGCACAGAGTTCTGTCCCAGTTGGCATGATGCCCCAGGAGCTGGGTACAGCCTGTGCCTATGGCCAGGGAGAGGGTGGGGGTGGGGGTGCTCTGGGGAGAAGTGTGGCTGTTGCCTTGGAGACCAGATCTTGAGCCAGGAGGCCAGAGGCTTGGCCAGGCAAAGCCTTGGGGCCCATGTCTGGGTCCCTGGAGGGATGGAGGAAGTGGATGAGGCTGGCAGTTGAGTAGGGCACCTTGGGTATCCCTCCCCAAAGCCCAGGATCGGGGGAGGCCTCTGAAAAAGAAGATATGGCCTGTCACTGATAGCTCTCACTTGCAGCCTCTGTATCTCCCTGCCCAGACTTCTGTGAGTCTGGGCGAGCCTGCTCCTAACTCAAAGAAAAGCAGGAATGCAGGTTCCTGGTTCCCTCCAAGGCAGCATCCCCTCCCCCCACCCCGTTTCTCTGCCACCTTGTGGCTGTTCCTGGGACTGCACCCTGTAAATCGTAGTTGCTGAAAACCACCAGCTCAACTGGGGGCTGGGTGGCCTGGAGTTCTCCCACATCCACTCCTCCTGGAGGCAGGAGGGAGATATGACTCTCCAATGGTTGTAGAAATCAGACAGGGGTAATCCCCAGGGGGCCTGGAACACAGACTTGTCTATGACTGCGACCCTGGCCAAGGTCACTGTGTCAGTGTGTTGGGAGCTGCATCAGGCTCCAGGGGGAGGAGCCCTGCAACATGCCACATGCAGGGTGGGTGTGGGAGGTTATACAATCCGTGCACGTATGTGGAGGCTTATGTAACCTGTGTGTGCTGTGGTTATGTAACATGTATGGGTCGAGGTTGGTAACATATATGTGCAGTGGTTGAGGGTTGCTAACACCTTGAGTGGAGGGTCCTTGTCTTGGTTCTGACTCTAGTGCACAGTGTCACCAGGCACAAATGGAGCTTCGGTTTGTTGCTTTGTTAAATGAAGGCCATGAACAGGGTGGCTCTGGGAGTCTCTTCTTATTCCAGGTTATAGATTATCGTTGCTAGTCAGTATATGTTTTTAATCACTCGGGTTATCTACCATGTACATGACCTGGGAATCAAGCCACATGTTCACTATTAGGTGTCTGTCCAGAGGGTTGTGTAACACATGGGCATATCCTAGAGGTCATAGAACGCATTTGAGAATGCCCTGAAAATTTCATAGATGTATAGATCCTGGTGCTTATTTATAATCCTTAGGTTTATACTGAAGACAGACAGATGCTCTGGTCTTCTGTTATGTACATATGTGTGTGCCCTAAAGGTTATATAGCTGTAAGCATGTCCTGAAGATTCTTTCTGCATAAGTTCCATGTATTGAAGGTTTAAATATGTGGATATCCTGTGGATTATGGGTGTTTAAGGTTCTATAGTGTGTGTGTGTGTGTGTGTGTGTGTGTGTGTGTGTGTGTGTGTGTGTTGGAGCCCTAGAACATGCCTGTGCCCCCAGCCAAGCCCTTTATCTCTCACCCCAAAGCTTCTAGATAGCTGGACCCTTCTCAGTTTTATCAGCTGACCTGGGGGTGGAAGTGGAATGAGGACACAAGATGGAGGGAGTCGGGCCTGGGAGATTATAGAAACCTATCGGATGAGAAGGGGGCTGCCCAAAGACTGCCCTGTGATTCTGCCCACTCTACCCCCATCCAGTGCCAGGTCACCAGATGGAAAGCGAAAAAGAAAGAACGGCCAATGTTCCCTGAAAACCAGCATGTCAGGTGAGCCTGGTTGTGTGTGCCTTTCTTCCCTACCCTCAACCCCACCAAACCAGGCCTGGAGCTCTTTGGGGGCCTGGGCATGGATCAGCAGTTCCTGTGACCCTTGGGGAGAGCCTTCCAGAGAGCTTGGGACGAACTTGTCTGGAGGTGAGAGGGGTGATAAGGGCATGCTCCAGCCTTTGAGGACAGGTCCTCAAAAAAGAAGGACCTCTTCTCTTCCCTGATAAACCCCTTCCCTGAGCCCCACCCCCCTGTGCCCCTGAATCAGGGTCTGGGGCTAATTGGCCAAGGGACTGTATTCCCCTGAGATGAGCTGCTGACATGTCCTGCATCCCCTGCCCCTCAGATGCAGCAAGAGAAAAATCCCCAAATGGGCAGTCGGAAGAACTGGGATTCTCCATATTCTTAGGGAAGGGGATGGACAAGGTGACTCTGATGTGTCTCCAGGATTCTACCTGGACACAAAGAATCCTTTAAGGAGGCTGGGCTAGGGGATGGGCCAGGAAGGAAAAGTTGGGGGGATGAAGGAAGTGTAGGAGCCTCTCTGCTGGGGGCCCAAGCCATGCCTGCCTGCCTCCCTTCCTCCCTCCCAGGGTATATCCCTAGTTACCTGGACAAAGACGAGCAGTGTGTCGTGTGTGGGGACAAGGCAACCGGTTATCACTATCGCTGCATCACTTGTGAGGGCTGCAAGGTATGGACCAGACAGCTCCTGCCCCCCCTCCCCCCACCTGAGCCCCCATCTCACCCGCCTGAAGGCCCTCAGCTCCTGGCAAAGACAGCCCTATAGACACCTAACCTAAACCCCACCTGTTGCACCACCATTTCTCCTCTCTTATTCATTTGTCAGTTTACAATCTCTGCTCTGCCACTCACTCATAGGTAAGATGCTTAATTTCTCTGGGCCTCAGTTTCTTCCTCTATACAACGGGGATAATCACATTACCTACCTCATAGAGCTGTTGCGAGAATTAAATGAGCTGATTCATAAAGTATTTAAAACAGTGCCAGGAACATAAGAAGCACTCAATAAATCCCAGCTATCCTCCATCCACTTGGCGGATCAGATGTGAAGGAGGTAGTATGTGTCCTGCCCTCAAGCTGCTCATAGTCTACCAGAGAGGCACACTGGAAACAAATACTGGTTTTCAAAATGTGGTCCCTGGACTACCTGCAGGATTAGTTCAGTGCAGATCTCCAGGCCTCATTCCAACCCTACTCAGTCAGAACTTGTGTGGTGAGGCCTTTGTGGACTCTGCCTTGGAACAGGTCCCCAGTTACTCCCCCTGCACCTAGAAGAGTGAGAACCAGTTCCGGGGGGAGGGGCACAGTGGGGCCCAGAGTTGGAGAGGATGACAGAGTCTCTGTGGGCAGTTGGGACAAGGTCATAGACTTGGGGAGCTTTAATTACATCTCACCTAGCTCATTTTCACCTGCAAGGGTTTTCCAGGATCATCACCTCCTGAAAATGTAAGACTTTCCAAGAAATGAAAGTATTTAAAAATATAGTAAGGCTTCACATTCCTCTCTTTCTTAGTATCAACAAAGCCCAGACCACCAGGGGTTCAGAGTCCCATAGCAGTGTCCCTGGAAGCAATACAAGCAGCACAACAGAGAGCAAGGATCCTCACCCTCAAGGACAGTTGAGTCCCAGAGGAGCATCCCAGAAAGACAGAAATGCCTTGGCCCCAGCTCTAGAGAGTATGATATCTTAAGTCTAGAGTGAGGCCCAGGACTTTGCATTTTTCGTTAAGTGCAGTAAATGATTATTTTATTTTGTTTTATTTTATTCTATTCTGTTCTATTTTATTCTCTTTTGTTTTAAAATTTAAGTGCACTAGATGATTTTAATACACCCCTGAATCTGAGAACTCGGAACTGGTGTCCCACACCTCAGGTCCAGTTCTGGCTCTCCTGCCCATTTAGCCATATGACTTTGGGCAGATTGCTTAATCTCTCCAAACTTCAGTTTCCTAGTCTCAAAATGGAGATAGTAACATTACTACCTCACGGGTGGACACAAGCATCAAATGTGATGATGCACACATGGAAAAGGCTTATAAGTGCCTCATAGTGAGTGTTCAGCACATGTTAGCTCTTCCTGTTATTGCTGCCATCTTGATTCTTGAGGATTTTTCTTTAGGGCGAAGACTAAACCCGATACACAGAATTGAAAATTTTCTTTTAAATCTACTAGTGTCCATACACAGTGCCTTTTCTTGATTTTTAACCTCCACCCCCACCCCCACCCCCCATTTCGAGAATTCCACCTGCATGAGCAACAGGCAGCATGTATAAGGGTGGGTTTGGGAGTCAGTTTTATTTTCAGAGTTGTTTAGCAGGATCGAAAATAAGGTATCAGTTGGACCTCCAAAGCTGCTGCTATTCCTTCAGGCATCATAGCACCTGACACCATCCCAGGCTCATGTCTGTGTACTGGGTTCCTCATCCTCCCCCCTGCCACCACCCTTCCCCATGTGCCCCTGCGCCTCAGCAGCCTGGGAGCTGAGGGCACATAGTTCCATATTTCTAAAGTCCTTTGGCCCCACCAGGTGATCCTGGACTTGCTGGTGTCGGGAGGATGCCAAGTTCCCTCACTAATTCCCCCACCCCCGCCCGCCCAGTGAGTTGCATGGTTGGTTCATGAAGGAGAGATCATGATCACTACCTGCTACATCTCCCTCCACCCCAGGGCTTCTTTCGCCGCACAATCCAGAAGAACCTCCATCCCACCTACTCCTGCAAATATGACAGCTGCTGTGTCATTGACAAGATCACCCGCAACCAGTGCCAGCTGTGTCGCTTCAAGAAGTGCATCGCCGTGGGCATGGCCATGGACTGTAAGGGGATGGGGGGGTGGGTGTCGAGCCAGGCAGCCATGGGTGGGGGTGAGTTAAGATATGACTGCTCCCTGCCAGAGTATCCTTAGGGCCCACAGTACAGAGTGACAATCCAGGTCAGGATGATGGGGAATGAATGTTTAGGATCTTGGTCCCTGCTGCCCTCATCCCTGGGGAAAAGGGAACAAAGGATCCCTGAATGGGCCCTGCACATGGGCCCCAGTGCCTACCTGCCTTTCACCACTCCAAGGCCTTAGAGTTGTTGGGTAGAAAGGAGTCCTGAGTACTTCACCCTAGCACAGTGTTCCTGACTACCAGAGAAGACACCCCACTTCTGGGTGAGAGTGGGCATCTTGCATTGGCTGGGGATTGGGTAGCAGGCTCTTCTAGTAACCACTATCACCATAACCACTTAGACCAGAACGTGATAGTCTACATGGGCCCAGTGATTATCATGATCCAGGTTGTGCCACCCAATTGCTAGGTGGTATTTGGGAAGTCACTTAACGTCTCTGGCCCTCAGTTTCCTAACCTTACATTGGGAAGAGTAGTTTCTGAGTAGATCGTGGAGAGTGCCATGCAGAGAGCATCGTGTCTCTCTGCCGTTGACAGTGGTTCTAGATGACTCAAAGCGGGTGGCCAAGCGCAAGCTGATCGAGCAGAACCGGGAGCGGCGACGAAAGGAAGAGATGATCCGATCACTGCAGCAGCGACCGGAGCCCACTCCCGAAGAGTGGGACCTGATCCATGTTGCCACAGAGGCCCATCGCAGCACGAATGCCCAGGGCAGCCATTGGAAGCAGAGACGGAAATTCCTGGTAAGGAGAGACGGGGCATGGGGAGAGCAGCAGCCACGTGGCCAGGAGGAAGAGCAAGCTCAGAGTCTTGTCTCCTTCAGAAAGCTTTCTTGGTTTAATCTGACCCAAAGCTAATGCTCTCTACGACGTGGTGATCCTGATTCATATGCCTGCGTATGTGTTGCTGCTGTCACAGCCCTGCCTATTTAGTGTGATTGGGAGCTTCCCCATTGAATTTCTAGAGAGCAGGGGCAACCTCTCCTCTTTTTCCTGCCCACAGTGACTGGGAGGAGAGGGTTAGGACACAGTTATGTAATAGTATTTGGGGGCACCTGATGGGTACGAGGCATTATGGTAGACCCTGGCAAAACTGAGTGCTAAGTGAATGGGCAGCTCAGGAGGAGATGGACAGTTGATTGTATATGGTGAGTGAAGGCAGGAACCTGGTATCTGGTTCCTGGTGGAGTGTGCCAGCGGGTGGAACAGTATAGTGTTAAGAGCACAGCCTTTAATACCAAGCACATGTGTGTATAATGGTGAGGAGTCAGACTATTTGGGTTCAAATCCTGGTTCTACCTCTTACTAGTCATGTGACCTTGGGCTTATTACTCAGCTGCACTGTGCCTCAGTTTCCTCACCTGTGAAATGGTGTTAAGTATAACATCCTTATAAGGTTGTGGTGGGGATTCAATAGGATCTATAAAACATGTAGCCTAGTGCCTGGCTGCGTATTAAATATGTTACATATTCAGTAAACATAGCTTCTATTATTATGAGATTACTTCTACTACTGTTATGGTCATTGTTATTATTAGCCGACTTGCAGCTCTGGCTCTGATCTATTCTCTGCCCTAAGGTGAAGGAGAAGCCTTAGGCATGGGACAGGGCAGTCCCCTGGTACTGGCCACCCCTCTTCCCCAAGCTGACTTGGAGCTCCCCCTGGTGGGCAGGGAACCTCAGTGAGAGGTTGAAAGGGGTCTGCAGCCCCAGCTGACCCCTGTCTCTTTCTTTATAAAGCCGGATGACATCGGCCAGTCACCCATCGTCTCCATGCCGGATGGAGACAAGGTGGACCTAGAGGCCTTCAGCGAGTTTACCAAGATCATCACCCCGGCCATCACCCGTGTGGTGGACTTTGCCAAAAAACTGCCCATGTTCTCCGAGGTGAGTGGCAAATGGGAAGAGGCATGGTGCCACCCTAGAGGGAAAACTGGGGCTGCTCCCTTGGTCACCCAGTGTCAGCATATGCTCATCTAAGGTCCTCTGGACAGGGAGCAATCCCTGTAGGTCAACACACATCTAACACACACAACCCAAACACCCCCAACACACACACACACACACACACACACACAC